ATCGTAAATTGGTACTGACATATGCCAGCTGTCAAACTCGCCATCAGTTTTGCTTGTAAGCAAAATTTTAGAGAGAAGGCCATCGACAGCCTCATCAGCAGAAAGTTACAGTTGGCATTTGCAATTACTCAGGCTATTTCCCGAGCGCCTGCATCTTTTACGAAGAGTGAATACTGAAAGTGATTTTGACTTTTCTTGATCATTCTTCCAACCAATTCGTTGTTCAGTGCCGAATTCCAAAGTACTGTCACAGCTTGTGGTGATTCTGTGGCAGCCCTGCCAGTGGGTGATTGCTGTTACTCAAGCTAATTACAATTGTCCCTGCCTCTCACTGAAGCATTGAAACTGAGCGGCAAGAGGAGGTTCTGGCTTGATTCGTTTCAGCCTACTCGTTTGGCCATAAGCTGGTACTATTTGAGGCTGGCGTTGTCTCAGGTTTTAGTCAAAAATATTTTGGATAATTGTTTCCGCACGGCCAAGGGGACCATCACAGATTTTCTGAAAATCATAGCCGTTAGTGAAAATATAGCACCATCATTATTAAGCAAGAAAACAGTGCCTTTGTTTTCAACTGCGTAAAATTTCGAAAATATAAAAGCCTGAGTTGGATTTCAGTTTCCTCTCGTCCTACTTAGCGGAGCGATATCGCCGCTTTCCTTTCTCCCCCTCCCACCTCTCTTCCTCTCCCAGTTCTTGGGCTTTCTAAAATGGATGCAGTTTCCGTCAGTTTCACCCCGGAAGGCGGCTCTTTTTGTAATCCTGAATTGGCTGGTAGTTCATTGCCTTTCTGTATGATTTATGTTAGACAGCATCATGAGATAGGTAGTCGTGTCGCTTTTTGGTAATGCAGAAACCGTGAAGTCACGAACTATGAACTGAAAGCTGTATTCAGGCTGGCATCGAGCCGCATTGGTGCACATGTTTGAACTGGGAATTAGTCAGTGACCCGGCGCAACTCCCATTATCCACTATGCTTGTCCAGACGGTTATCGATGTGTTCAACAATGAAACGGAACCGGAGCGAACTTCATGCGCT